CAACTTCAAACTCTTGGCACAAGTGATCTTCTTGCCTCAGCCTCCCAAGTAGCTGGGACTATAGGCCCCCACTATAACTACCAGCTATTTTTTTTTTTTTTAGAAATGGGTTCTCCCTGTTGCTCAGGCTGGTCTCCAACTTGGGAGTTCAGGCAGTCCACCCACCCGGGCCTCACAGAGTTCTAGGATTACAGGTATGAGCCACCGAGCCAGGCCTGGCCTCACTTTTCTTAACTGTAATATGGGACATCAAAAGGAATCAGATTTATCAAACGGTTGTGAGGATCTATCAAGCTAGCAGGAGTAAACCTGTCACTGGCGCATAGCAAGTACTGCGCACCTGTTAGCAATATGAACTCTGGGATTCTTTTTTCCTCCCATTTCAAAATTTTATATTTTGAAATAATTGTAGATTCACAAGAAGTTGCAAAAATAGTACAGAGGTCCCATGTGCCCTTCCCCCACTGCTTCCAGTGGTGGCCCCTTACATAACTACAGCACATTACCAAACCGGGAAATGATGTTGCCACAATGTATCAGTTAGACTACAGCCCCTTCTTGGATTTCTTAAGTGCCTAATTGCACTCCTGTATGTACATATTGTTCTGTAAAATTCTGTCACATGTGTACATCAAGACACAAAACCACCTGTGCTACCCCTTTATCCTCACTCCTCTTCCCTCTCCCAACTTCTGGCAGCCACTCATCAGTTCTCCATTTCTATAATACGGGTCTCTTACGAGTGTTAGGTAAATGGAATAATACAGTATATAAACTTTTGACAATGGCTCTTCGTCTCTCATTAAACTTTTGAGATCCATCAAAGTTGTGTGTATCGGCAGTTTGTTCATTTTGTCTCTGGCTACTGTTCCTTGGTGTGGGCGCACCACAGTTTGTCCAGTCACCTGCTGAAGGACTTTCAGCTTTTTTCCCAGGTTTTGGATATCACATATAAAGCTGCTGTCAAAATGTAAGTACAGATTTTTGTGAGAATATAATTTTTCATTTCTTTTGGCTAAATGTCCAGTACTTTTTCCACAGTTCTTAAAGAAGGAAATATACATATGTCATATACCAGTGTCTATGAAAACAGTAAACATTGGGCAGTGCCTGTGGCTCAAAGGAGTAGGGCGCTGGCCCCATATGCTGGAAGTGACGGGTTCAAATCCACCCCTGGCCAAAAAGTAAAAAAAGAAAATAGTAAACATTTAGAAAAAATTGTTTTCACTTTTATTTTATAGCAAGATTTTCATGAATTTAAAAAAATGGAAATGAAACCAGAAGAGCGGCCTGCAAGATGGAGTCTGGGAAGCTGAGCTGAAGCAGCACACCTTGTCTGCTCAGGCTTCCCCATGTACTTCCCATGATTACCTAGTTCACCTCCACTGTGAGGATGTTTGTCACCAAAGGCTTTGGGATGCCAGGCAAGATGGCTCACACCTATAATCCTAACACTCTGGAAGGCCGAAGCAGGTGGATCACCTGAGCTCAGGAGTTTGAGACCAGCCTGAGCAAGAGAGACCCCGTCTCTAAAAATAGCCAAGTGTTGTGGCAGGCACCTGTAGTCCGAGCTACTAAGGAGGCTGAAACAATAGAATCGCTTGAGCCACAGAGTTTGAGGTTCCTGTGAGCTGTGATGCCATGGCACTCTACCCAGGGGGACAGAGTGAGACTCTGTCTCAAAAAAAAAAGCACTTTGGGAGAGGTGGTCACACATAGACAATACGTGTTGTGATATTGGTGGATAAATGTTACTTTGACGATATGATGTTTTCTTTAATGATTCTCTTAGATATTTTGTTAAGGTGGAAATCGCCTTTATGTTGTTTAAACATTTTGCATTCTTAGAATAGAGAGTACTTTGATGTTACTTCCTATCAGATAAAGTTAAAATTTTCTAGGTTTGTTTTCTTGTATTCCCATTATAAAAACTATTAGAATTATAACTGAGGCAGAACAGAATTGAGAGACTACTTTCGCTTTCCTTCAGCATTGCTGGCCCTCTGATAATAAAGCTAGTTGGGCTCGGCGTCTGTGGCTCAAGTGGCTAAGGCGCCAGCCGCTTACACCTGAGCTGGCCAGTTCAAATCCAGCCCAGGCCCACCAAACAACAATGTCGGCTGCAACCAAAAAATAGTCGGGTGTTGTGGCGGGCGCCTATAGTCCCAGCTACTGGGGAGGCAGAGGCAGGAGACTCGCTTGAGCCCAGGAGTTGAGGTTGCTGTGAGCTGTGATGCCATGGTATGCTACCCAGGGCGACAGCATGAGGCTATCCCTCAAAATAAAATAAATAAATAAATAATAAAAATAAAGCTAGTTGGACCTAATCCCTATCTCTACATGTTGGCTGGACAGTGACAGGTAGCTAGACCCTCCTCCTCTGGTAACACAAAGAGGTGTGCTCATTATCAGAGGCCGTGTGAGGTGGAGGAAAGCCCTATGTCTACACTGGTTGCCTTGATCACTGGTACGAACTTGGTTCCTCACTGGAAAGTGAGGAAGATAGGTTAGATTTCATTCGGGGTTTCTGCCAGTCAAAGCATTCTATATATTGGTTATCAGATTTGATGTTGTGAAGTATTCAGATGTTTGAGTTAGTTGTAAATGTGCAAAAAATTAACTTTAGGAAGATATTTAATGATATGGAGGGTTACTTGCTAACAGGTTGTATGAATGGCCGTATAAATTCATACCCTTTGCCATTTAGCTATTTTTTTTTTTTTGAGATAGAACCTCAAGCTGTCCCCCTAGGTAGAGTGCTGTGACATCATGGCTCAGAGCAACCTCCAACTCCTGGGCTCAAGTGAGTCTCCTGCCTCAGCCTCCCAAGTAGCTGGGACCACAGGCACCTGCCACAACGCCTGGCTATTTTTTGGTTGCAGCCATCATTGTTGTTTGGTGGGCCTGGGCTGGATTCGAACCCGCCACCTTAGGTGTATGTGGCTGGTGCCTTAGCCGCTTGAGCCACAGGCACCGAGCCTGCCATTTAGCTATTAAGAGTGATTTATTAAATGCAGGGAGAAACATTTTGTAAACTCATTTTGGTATGTTCTTTCATCTGACTTTCACAGTAGAGCTAGGTTAAGTCCTTGAAACACATGTACATAGCAAGCAAGATAGTTCCAGAATTTACTAGGAAAGAATAAGTATCAGACTGGACTCTCTTAAAAATGTTTTGTGGTTACCGGTGCAATGAAGAGCAGACTTAGTATAAAGAGCCATTAGAGATGAAAGGGGCCTGAAGGCAGGAAAGACTTCAGGAAAAGATACCAGCCTAGAAATATCTGGCTAAGGCACTGTGGTACGTGAGGATTGTGAGAAGCTCAGGTTCTAGGCCTCCGCTGTAGTGGCTGGTGGTGTGAGGTTATTCGGGAGCTGGCTTCCCTTTCCTTCTTATTGATGCCTTCTCCTCCATCTCACCTTCATGCCCTAACTACTCAGTGCAAAGGGGGCTGATGAAGCAGAGGGCAGCAGGGAGTGGTGGAGGTGGAGGAGGAGAGAGTGTAGGGTTTGTCTAAAGTGGGCAGCTTTATACCAGCCGTGGCTCCATGGGAAGATGGAGCTGGTGTTTCTCAAGATGAGCATTCCAGATTAGTAATGGGGACGTATTTATGTACCAGCAACTCCAGCATAATGTTTGAACACCTTTGCCTAGAGCCACACCATCTAGGTTAAAATCTCAGCTCTACCACTAATTAGCTGTGTGACCTCTGATGAGAGTTTGTTTTGTTTTTTAACTTCTTTGTGCTCAATTTCATTACCTGTAAATGGGAATAATAGTAGTACCTACTTCACAGGGTTGTTATGAGATTTAAATGTGTTGATATGTGTAAAGCATTTAGAACAGTGCCTGTTTTACTGAAAACTCTCAATTTTTTGTTAGCTATTATGGTTCTTATTAAAACACAGAGAAGGGGCCAGGGTGGTGGCTCACACCTGTAATCTTAGTACTTTGGGAGGCTGAGGTGGGAGGATTGCTTGAGGATAGGACTTCAAGACCAGCCTGAGCAAGTGTGAGCCCCTACAAAGTCTTCACAAAATATAGAAAAATTAGCCAGCTGTGGTGGCATTTGCCTTGAGTCCCAACTACTTGGGAGGATCACTTGAACCCAGGAGTTTGAGGTTGCTGTGAGCTTTGATCACACTATTGTGCTCTAGCTGGGTGACAGAGTAAGATCCTATCTCACAAACAAACCAACAATGACACAATGACTAAGCAAATGACATGAAGTCTATGTTAACCAGCTTGATGAAAGTATTTCAAATTGTATATGAAAACACTACACTGTACCCCATGTTTGCATTAATGTATACAGCTATCATTTAATAAAAAAAAATTTAAAAAAAAAAAACCAACAAACAAAAACAGAAACCACAAAGAAAACCAAATGGTAAGTCCACGTAGTCCATGGACTACTACTCTGCAACTTCTCCCCTGAGTTTCATGGGGAACCCACAGATGTTATTGTTGGAAGGGGGCACTCAGCTGTCACTGGGATTTCAGGTTCTTTCTACTCCATTTAACTGTGTCCCTTTTAGTGAAAAGACAGGGTCCCCAGGAAAAGCAGCTACTTGAGTGTCTTCACAAAGAGAATGGATGCAGGGAATGCGGTGGTGGCAGTTGGAATTATGGATGGGACCTACATATGGTGGCAGGGCTGAGTCTTTAAAATGTTGTGCTTGGTAAAGGAGCAAGAGACAGAACATGTAGATTATTACAAAAGGACAATGCAGATTTTAAAGGACACGTACAAAGGATATATTTCAAATCCATTAGAGTGGTTTTGCCTATTCAAGGGAGACCCATGAGAGTGGGACATGGGGATGAAACAGTAACAAAAGCCGGAGGGGTCTGGCCCAGAGCAGCCTTACTGAGCTGTGAACCAGGAACCTGACCTTCTCCTGAATTCCACTTCTCTTCTCCTTCCCCCCAAAAGGTGGAGGGCCTCCTTCTCCCACCCTAGTCCTGTGATCCGCGTGACCGGTGTGTTGTCTTCTAGGTACAAGGAGAATCCACCTTCCAAGTGTTTCCCGAAGCACAAGAACAGGCCGCAGTTCCCAGCCTCCCTGAACAGCCGGCGGTGGGTGTTCCTGACGAAGGGGCCGGAGGACTTCAGGAAAGGCTGTGGGCCTTGCCCTGCTCTGATCTCTCGGGCCCCTCAAGAAGGCTCTCTGCCCCAGATATGTCACAGGGCTCCTCTACTAGCCCCAAGGAAGAGGCGGAACCAGCAGCCCAAAGACACGGCCCTGTCTTCCAAGCTCTGGTCAGCCCAGCGGGTGCGGAAGGCCTTCCTGGAGGATGTGGAAGCCCGCCTGGCCCCGCACCCCTTGGCCCTCTACGGGAATCTGGAAGAGGCCATGCCGGCCGAGGTGATCTGTCTGTCCTAGGATTGGTGAGAGGGGGGTCACCAGGCCTTGGAAATCATCTTCTCTCAATGTCTAGATGTGGGGCGGTGCCTGTAGCTCAGTGGGGAGGGCGCCAGCCACAGACACGGAGGCTGGTGGGTTGGAAGCCGGCCAGCTAAAACAACAATGACAACTATAACAACAACAACAACAAAAGTTGGCGGGCGTTGTAGCTACTTGGGAGGCTGAGGCATCAGAATCACTTCAGCCCAAGAGTCTGAGGTTGCTGTGAGCTCTGACGCTGAGGCACTCTACCCAGGGCAACAGCTTGAGATTCTGTCTTAAAAAAATAGTCTAGATGTGAAGCTGACATGTTTGTCAGGGGGAGAGAAGAATCACTCAGGGTGAAGAGTGGCCTTCTTCCTCTGTCCCCAGGTAGCCACATGCACGCTGGTGCCTTTGCTTCCTAGGAAACCCTTCAGCCTTCAGAGGGGCAGCTTTGAAAAGCACCGTTTGGCTGCTTTACCCCAGAAGTGCTACCAATCTGCTAAACTTTTCACTGTGACTTTTCTTGAGGAGGAAAGAGTAGAAGGGAATTATTCCGTCTTACTTCTGTCACTTTGGCCTGGTGTGTGGCAGTGTCCTTAAGTCCTTACCAACAGATGGATAGAGTGTATTTGAGAACCAGAAAGGTCCTGGGGAAAGGGTGGTTGACCGCAGCCCTGCCATGTCTCCAGGGTCCCAGGCCTCCCCTGCCTTTAGCTCCACATCCCCAGCAGTTCTCGCTTGCCCTCCCCACCTGCAGGCGCTGAATCTGCCTTTCACACAGGAAACCTAAGGGGCAGATGCTAAAGGGAGCGAGCCAGCCGACTCTGTCTTTTCATCAGCTTTCCCAGTAAACATCCCGTTCGTCTGACCACTCCTTGTTGCTAGGGAGTCCAGAGAGCAAAGTTTCTTACTGGGGCCTGGCAGCCTGAAACACAGCCCAGGTTTTGTTAGACTTAAGCAAAAAGGGCAGAATGGACATTGGGCAGGGAACTGGCCGGCTGCCTCGCCCCTACCCCTGCAGCCTGTCTCCTGCACAGAGAATGAGACAGTGGAGTGGAAAGATGAGTCTTTGCTCAGCCCTTGAGTGGCCCCTTCTCACTCAGATAAAGTCAGGGCCCTTGGTGGGGGCTGAAAGGCCCTGTGAGTTCCGCTCTCAACCCACCCCTACTCTGCTCCTGCTCTAAGCTCACCCCTGCTCCTCTGCCCCACTCGCTCTGCTTCAGCCGCTGTGGCCTCCAGGCTGTTCTGTGGACATTATGAACATGTCCAATCCGTGTTTCTGTTTCGTGTTGGGAACACCTGCCCCAGAAGGCTGCTGGGCTCACTTCTTCACTTTCTTCAGGTCTTTGCTGAAATGTCCCTTGACTGGAAAGGTCCAAATAAAGTGGCATTTCCCTTCCATCTTCACTGTCTATGCTGCACCATGCTCCATTTTCCATTATTGCACCTGTCATCACAGGTTCCTCACTATAATGACAGTTCTGCAAGGGCAGGCACTTGATCTGGCTTTCACTGGGAACCACCAATACTTGATGTATGGTAGACACTCATAAGTCTTTTTGAATGAGTGACTAAATAAGTGACCAATGGCAGGGAAGTCTGTAGAAAGGACAGGGAGTATGGCTGAGCAGATATTTTCTCCCTGGGGCTTTCCTCTTTCACTGCCTCCTGCAGACCAAAGGTTCTGAGTCCATGACAAAGAGTCTGTTCCATACACCTTGGACAGCACATGGATGTGGCCTGGGATTGTGGCTTTTATTTCCATGTGTGATATCCCCAGCTAGGTGTGTCAGCTTCTTTCTGAGGCAGGGTCTCTTCTTACTGTGCCATGGTGGCCCCCAACAGCTCCAGTTACATTCTACCCACTTAGAAACTCTTGTGGAAAAGGAGCTCCTCTTTTGTGTAAACCCAGCAAAATTCCACAGCCTAGTTTTCATGGATCCAAGGTGGGTCACGCATCTATTCCTAAAGCAGTCAGCATGGTTGCCTCTGGAGTGAGGGTGGGGTTAGGCCAGTTCAGAACCCATGGACTGAGAGTGGAGAGAGAGATGGTTTCCTAAAGAAAAAGCCAGACATTTATTTATGAGAGGAGAATAGATGATGGGCAATCAAAAGTCACAGAAGTCCTTTAGGGGATTCTGTGGGGCACGTGGGGACTAGGACAGGCCCAGAGGCATAGTCCGTCTAGAGGAAGCAGAGCTTTAGCATGAGGCTGTGCACCAACATCCAGGTGCAGGTCGGTCTGCCCGCAGTGGTGCTGATCACAATCCCGAAAGAACCACAATCTCCAAATGCACCATATTCCCAGATGCTGAGATCTCCAAAGCTCAAAATCCCCAAAGTCTAGGATCATAAAAGTCATACTCCTGAAAGATTAAAATCCCAACGGTTAAAATCCTGAAAGTTGAACTTTGGGGAGGGGATTAGTGTGTTTCCAGTCATATGCAGGATCATGTTAGTTGCATCCTGTTAGGGGAGGTCTTCTCTTGTTATTGTATTTATTTGGAAATCAAGTGTGATTTAAGGAGATGTGTGTGGACTACAGGGGGAAATGTCCTCCTTCAATATCTGAATGTTTCAAAGATCACAGATGAAGTAAAAATGCAGATGAACGACAGAAGGAAACTTGCCTGGTGAATCATTTGATGGTGTTGCCTTCAAGTACAGGTGCTGTTTGTCTGAGAGTAAAAAGATTCAACAAGCTCAGACCTTCTTAACCAAAGACATTTGCTGATATGGAGGCTCCTCCAGGGTTATAAAACACATTAAATGCTGAACTGTTCTTAGCTGGGGATGTGACTGTCAAAAAGATAGACTTCTTAGGTTTGCCACTGAATCTAACATAGACAAACTAGTGCGTGCTTCATGGGGCCAATGGATGGTTGTATTTTCAAAATGGACCCATTGTTTTTAATTAACTTAATATAATTCATGCTCTTGTTAGACCCCAAAATCCTAGAACTTAGCTATTCATTTATGTGTTCATGACTTGGAAAGGCAAAGCACTTTATTTGAAGATCCGGTGGACTTTGCAGATAAAGATAAATTTCAACTGAATCCTCAACCTGCAATGACAGATAGGGAGTTAGGTTATGGTGATCAAAGTTTCCAAAAGTGAATTTCAAAGTATTATCAATAAAGTTTGTTTTTCCATTCAGCCCAATGCATTTGGTGGGAAATTCAAATGAGTGGATTGGCCCCATAATACAGTGATGGAAAACTTACAAAGTATGTGGTTTGTCCAGTTGGCATTCCTTCCAGCTGATGGAATTTAAGGAGCTTTTAATGAATTAAAGCTGCATTTCTCCTGAAACAGCCAATGAAGTTGCTGATTGGTTCAAAATAATCACATCCACAGCAGGCTAAGAAGATGAGCAGCACTGCTGCTGTTTGATCACCAGTGCTGTTTCTTCCAGATTTGCCCTCTCTCTGTGAGTGCGCGCGGAATGGACTTTTGTGTACTTAAAACAACATAGAAGCGCGGCACAGGAGACAGGAACATTTAATCAGGATTGTTCATGTGGGTGAATGTTGAATCACAGAAGAATTTCAAAAAGAGCAGTGCCGTGTAGAAAATGAAGTGAATGTATTCTCAGCTGGCCCCATTCCATAAAATACACTCAATGATTGTGAAAGCTGCCAGTTCTTACGGACTACCTCTGTGCGATTGCCTGTAATCTATGCCTGTGATGCACTTTTTCACACGTTGAAGTTTCAGTGATTTTTGTTTTTTGCTTGGTTTAGATCCCCTCTCCACTATTTTATATTGTCAGCATTTTAAAAAACAATTTATTATGCTGTGTATTTCATCTTTGCATTGTGTCCAGGACTGGCAGCAGTATAAATTGTCGAATGCCAAATTTGGCTCCATGAAAGGGCATTATCATAAGCATGGTTGGTGCACAAAAAAGGAATCAAAACTTTCTCAAGAAATGAAGAAGAGTGCATTTTGTATATCTGCATTTGTGAAAGATAAAGTTTCTCAGGAGCACAGTTCTCTGGGTGACTGTGAGCTGTGCCCTCTGGTTTTTGGTTGATTTCATCAGAAACGGGTTGTTCCCATGGTATTTCAGATGGCTGCCTCGAGAAAGCTGGGTGCTCACGATCACCTAACACAGTGACAGGTGTTCATGCGTTTTGCCTTTTGACCTCTTTCTTTATGAATATAGACTGCCTGCTATAACCGTCATACCCTGTGGCTGTCGTTACTATACCTGAGTGTTGGTGCAAAAATATGAATGTTATTGGTGCTTATTTTGTTGTGTAAAGTGGCCATGAAGGCTTCTGTCATGTCTTTACATGTTTCTCAAATCTCTTTTAAAAAGTAAGTAATGTCTTTTGAAGAATTTAAAAGAAATTGTACTTCTGGGATTTTCATCTTTTGGGATTGTGATTTGGGGGATTTTAGACTTTAGGATTTCAATGTTTGGGATCATGGCATTCCAGATTGTGTCCTTTGGGATTATGGCACAAATTCATACAGTGCCCAGCACAGTGTTTGCCACAGAATTTGATGAACAGCATTGATTGACAGGCAGGAAAAGCAGAGGGCAAACTGGTCTACTTCGTTGTAAAATAGAACCCCCCCCGGCCCCCCCAGCATATTTTTTCCTGCTAAGGCTGTTTTCTGTTTGTAGCTCTTATTGAAGGTGCTGGAAGTGCTTGATCCTGACAGGAAGCTGGAGGACACCTGGGTTTATTGTGAGGACCCCAGAAAAAGAATGAAAGAACCCCCAAAGCCTTTTAAAAAATGTGCTACACAAGTCTACCTGGGACCGTGAGTATTATTGCTAACTCTTTGCCATTGCTTTCACCTGATGAGACTTCAGAAATTATCTTCTCAAAATTTCTCTTAATTAATTAATTAATTAATTTTGAGACAGAGTCTCATTATATTGCCTTCAGTAGAGTGCTGTGGCATCACTGCTCACAGCAACCTCAAACTCTTGGGCTCAAGCGATTCTCTTGCCTCAGCTTCCCAAGTAGCTGGGACTACAGGCACCCACCACCACGCCTGGCTGTTTTTAGAGGTGGGGTCTCTCTCAGCTAGTCTTGAATCTGTGAGCTCAGGCAATCCACCCGCCTCAGCCTCCCAGAGTGCTGGGATTACAAATGTAAGCCATCACACCTGGCCTTGAAATGGTAACTTTTATGAATTTAGTGGTATATGAACTATCTCTTGCTCTTTTTTTTCTTTTTTTTTTTTTGAGACAGACTCTGACTCTGTTATCTTTGGTAGAATGCCATGGCATCATAGCTCACAACAACCTCAAATTCTCATCCTAGCTCACAACAACCTCAAATTCTCATCCTAGCTCACAACAACCTCAAATTCTCATCATAGCTCACAACAACCTCAAATTCTCATTGTAGCTCACAACAACCTCAAATTCTTAGGCTTGAGCAATCCTCTTGCCTCAACCTCCTGAGTAGCTGGGACTACAGGCATGCACCACTATGCCTGGCTAGTCTTTCTATTTGTTTTAGTAGAGACCGGGTCTCATGCTTGCTCAGGCTGGTCTCAAACTCTTGAGCTCAAGCAGTCCACCTTCCTCGGCCTCCTAGAGTGCTGGAATTACAAGCATGAGCCACCATGTCTAGCCTATATCTCATCTTTTACAAGGCAGCTATTGCTGAGGCTCGAGCTATGAGATGAAGGGTGTAACATGTGGGGTTTGCATTTTGAAATGAGGGCTTTGACTGCAGTGCACAGAGTGGACTGGGGGTTGGGGCCGCAGGGGCCAAGATACTAGTGAGGTGCCCTTTGCGACAGTCCAGAGAAGGAGGCAGAGTTGAAGCCCGCCAGGCTTGTTAATGCACTGGATTTCTGGAATGAGCAGTCAGGGCCGTCTCCACTTGGCAGGATTATTTGAGGCGTTAGTGGGCTTCAAGCACAGTCTTTTGGGCTTTTAATTGGTATATGTTTTACTAAATGTGCTCTCAGTTTAAAAAATAAACTTACACAGCTATAAAATGCTATATGAGTTTTCATTGTTTTAAATAATAATAATACACTTGTCTCTATGTAAGATGTTGATAACGGCAATGTAATCTTTGAAAAATTAAAATATAATTCATATGTTTGCAAGAGATGGTTGGAAAGACCTGCTTTATGATCCTCCTCCCCACAACTCTCTTTGAAGTCCATGTGGACTCACTATGCCTCGTAATTCTTCAATTGTCTCATTACCTTTAGTCCCAGGAAGAGTTCTGGGTCATGTTCAGGCCAATGGCTCTATAAAGAAAAGCCATGCCAGGTGGACCTGCCCCACAGAGATGGCCCCCTTGTTTATGAGAACGTGCGGAAAGGAGTGAGTGACTTCTGCAACTGGGTTACGACTTTGGTAAGTTAATAGTTAAACCTATTTCTAAAAGTCAAGCTCAAGGTTGCTTTTATTAAAAATCAGTGTTGTATACAATCTAAGTTAAAACATCAAAGTCATAAAGGAATTCTTCTTTCCTACCATTTATAACAGAAATTTTTTTGGTACAAGAACTTTCTGGAAACTTGCAGCTAATTGGAATGTTTATGTTTCTCTCGCATCATTGTTGCTATTTCCTACTTTTATTCTCCATGCCAATGTCAGGCCCTTCCTTTCTCTTTGTCCTTCACTCCCGCTTCAGCTCATTTTTCCAAGTTGTATTTATCTGTAAGTACGTGGGCAGGCGTGCCTGACTGTAACCTTCACAAAACGTTTTTCTAATAGGAAGAGACTTTGACTCACTTATCAAGGTCTTTCCTTGCCCTCCTTCCAAGAAACTGTTTAGTTTCCTATTCCTGTTCCTGAGTCTTTACAATGTCTGGGTTCTTGGTGTTTTTCCTTGGATTTAAGACGTCTAATGTTTGTATTTTCTCTCCCTCCCAATCTTTTGAGTGTATTTAGTCAGTTTTCGTCAATGTACTATTTAGTACTATTTCATTAGCAAGTGACTGAAATCTAATTTAGACTGGCTTAAGGGAGAAAAGGAAGTCTTCCTGTTATTAGGAGATTCAGGTACCCCTAGATCCAGGTGCTGAAATGGTTTTAGGTATTGGCCCTGTCTCTCGTCTGTGCTCCACAGACTTCATCCCCAAGCAGCCTTGCCCCAAGAGATACCAAAAGTAGCCACTAAAATTTCCAAGCTACGTCCTACCCGTGAGCAACATAACTGGGAAGAGAGCAACCCTTTCCAATGGGGAAATTTCTGGGCCTTATTCTCCTGGACTAACTTGGTTCACATGCCTGGGCCTGAATTAACTGCTGTGATTGAGGAGATGCACTATGCTCATCAGCTAGGCCAGGCCATGCGTCTAACCCTGGCTCCGAGAGGTGGGGCTGTCAGCCCAGCTGCAACAGACTGAGAGTGGGGAGGGGAGCTCTTCAGAGGCTGAATGGAGCAGGGATGCTGGACACAGCAGACGAAGCCCTCTAGGCCTGGAACCCAAACCACTGCTTGCCCAAAGTTTGGCTGGATTAGATCACCTGATTCCAAGCCTGTCCTCCCATTCCCACTACTGAAGACTAATCCTCTATCTAGACAGGAAACTTAAGGAAACTTAGGGTGGCAGTCTAGCTGCTCTGGCAACTGGCCTTATTCTTAGTCCTCTGTGACTAAGTCCTATCATTATTTACGTTCCACAGCCTCGGTCCCTATCGCATTGCCTGTGTTATTTTGTTCACAGCTCTGTACTCTTCTTTCATACTGTTCATTTATTTTTTACCTCGCTGATTCTGCCTGCTTTATTTCTGCCTCACTATTACGTCAGCCTAGTTTTGACTCTCCTCCTGCCTTCATGCCTCTGACTCTATTTCGTGACTCCTCACTATAAATTATACTCCTCCTGCCTCTGGCCTCATTCTCTGTAATTTCTGTTTTCCAAAGTGGGATTCTGTTGAGTCTAAATTGTCTTTTAGCCTTGAGCCATATCATATGTCAGTGGCCTGCCTATGGATTAGCTGTCCCTCCTGCCGGCTGAGAGAAGGACATGGAGACAGTTGTTCTGTGTACAAAATATGGCAGACTAAAGCCACCTCCTTCAGCAGGAGCTGAGAACAGGGCAGCTGTCCTTATATGAGGCTGGGGACAGAACAGCCACTGTACACGTCTGACATGTCTGAAAAATACCTCTAGGGAGGTCACTGCTATCAAGGGCGAGACAAGTTAGTTGTCAAACAAACTCAGTTTTCCTCAGCTCTGTGATTTCCTCCAGGGATTCACTGCTTCTTGCAGGTCCTAAGCTGCTTTATTTAATTATTTATTTATTTATTTATTGAGATAGAGTCTTACTCTGCTGTCCCGAGTAGAGTGCTGTGGCATCACCATAGATCACAGTAACCTCAGACTCTTGGGCTTAAATGGTCCTTCTGCCTCAGCCTCCCAAATAGCTGGGGCTGCAGGTGCCTGCCACTATGCCCAGCTAATGTTTCTATTTTTAATAGAGATGGGGTCTCGCTCTTGCTCAGGCTGATTTCCAACTCCTGAGCTTAAGCAATCAACCCTCTTCAGCCTCCCAGAGTGCTGGGATTACAGGTGTCAGCCACTGTGTCCAGCCTCCTAACCTGTCTCTTAATTAATGTACAGACATAGCCCTGCAGACCCCACAAATCCTAGAATCTCCATTGTTGACCATCTACTTCAGTCAACCTAATTTTCTTTTCTTTTCTTTTTCTTTCTTTCTTTCTTTTCTTTTCTTTTCTTTTCTTTTCTTTTTTTTTTTTTTTTTTTGAGATAGCGTCAAGTTGTTGCTCTG